ATTCGGGCCTCGAATGCACCGGACATAGAGGGTGAATGCTTTGAGGTGGCGGTGGACTGATCATAAAAATTGACCGTGAAGCTTGTGCTTGATGATACTGATGATGATGAGGTGGTGATGATGAGGGAGGATGATATGTAGGTGATAATTTAGTGTGAGTGCTGATTGAACTCTGGATTGGAAGGCTTCGAGAGCCATTCGTGAAGACAATCGCCGTCGGCCGGCGGAGAAAACAGGCGAGCAGAAGGGTGAGAGCGAAGACAAAGGCGAGGATGAGGAGGATGGAGCGGAAGGCCGCCTCGCCGACCAGGTAGAACATCAGTACGAGGACCATCGTCAGAACGGAGGAGAAGATGCCTGGTGGAAAAGATTAATTGAAAACTGAAATTAAAACTTCAGCCTGGAAAGTTATCACATCAACACACTCACAAATGGCCGTCGCAAACTGGCGATCTCGCTCTTCGAGGGCATCATAGCTGCTGTTGTTGTTGTTCTCCTCGGAAAAAGAAGCATTGGAATGATGAGTTATCGAGGAGCGAGTGTACATGGGCAGATTCTGGTAGATTCGGGTGCTCGAATTGGGTCTGTTGTTGTTGCTGTTGTGGTTGTTGTTGTTGTTTAAATCGAGGTTTGTTTGAGTAAGACTTTTTGCAGTTGCTCCATTTTCGTTCATTCTGCTTTCTATTTTGTTGTTCTTCTTCTTCTTTTTGACGCCTCGCTTGGGTGGCGATATCTCTTCGGTTTTTGCTGGGATTTCTTTCTCCGGAGACGGACTGGCAGAAGCTACTCTCGAGGAACTTCGATGAAAGTCAATCGTCGCATAGTCGGGCGAGGAAGGCGTTGTTGGACTGGTGGTGGTAATATTGGTCTCAAACTCAGAACTTTGAAAAGTACAACTTTTTGAAACTGAAGCCGAGGAGGATTCAGCAGCAGCAGCAGCATCCGATGCAGAAAGTTCAACTTTCAATTGTGGTGAGTTCATTTTCATCATTTTTACTCATTGCCTGTGTATTTACCAACATCAACACACAACCACAACGACGACGTCCATTTACGGACTGAAAACGGAAAGCTGACGAATCAAACTACTGACTGACTGCAAACAGCAAACTCTCTGGGAAAGTGTTCAAACAAAACAGTCAGTGGGAAGAACATCTGCTGCTGCTGCCACTGTCTTTGAAGTACTAGTGTTATGATCATCACCAGAAGAAGAAGAAGATGATGATGATGAAGACCACTTTTGAAGGATGTGCTTCAGAGCTGTACTGTTCTGTACTGTATCGGCCGCCGCCGCATCAACATTATCATTACTGCTGCTGCTGCTGCTTTTTCAGCCTACCTTCTCCTCCAAATGGCAATGCCTAATGTCAGTCAGTCAGTCACTGTTTGTGCCTTATGTAATGTATGATGGTAGTAGTTTTGGAAGAAGGGAAAAAANAGCCTACCTTCTCCTCCAAATGGCAATGCCTAATGTCAGTCAGTCAGTCACTGTTTGTGCCTTATGTAATGTATGATGGTAGTAGTTTTGGAAGAAGGGAAAAAAGCGGCGCTTCCTTTTATGGAATCGGCCGACTAAACAAGCAAACACTCTCCTTTCTCTTTTCTTCTCTTTTCTTTTCGCACCTGTCAACGGAACGCAGAAATTGAAACAGCAAAAACTGAAGACTGAAGAAGAGGACGTCCTTCATTTTTTCCTTCTTTCCTTTTCACACAAGTCATCACAGATTATCAAATGATGATGATGATGATGAAGCGTGGAAGAAGAAACCAAAAAGACTAAAAAGTTGTTTGAAAAAAGTTTTTTTGTATTTTTCGTACATCAGCAGCTCGGTACGCCGTCTGTCGACGGAAAACGGTAGCTCAGAAAAAAAAATTCAGCCGTTTATTTTTTTCGAAACAAAAACAACAACAAAAATTATCATTTCGAATTTCATTCTTTCTAACCACTAAACTCCTCCTCACCCTCCTTCAACCTCCACGGCCCAAAGCGAAGCAACCTCGTCAGCGTACTCACCACCACGGGGCTCTGCTTTTTGGCGTCCATTTTCCCCTCATCAGAGACTGATTCTCGAGTGAAGGCAACCCGCTGACAGACCAGCGTGGCCAGCGTTCCCAGATCAGGACTCAAGGATTCAGTTCCGCTTTTCGAAAATGTCTCCCCTTCTACAAAAGAGTCCAACACGAAGCAGAGGTCCTGGATGAACCAACTTCCCGTCGAGGTGTTCCTCCAGGCGTAGTGGCCCGCCACGGTGCTGAAGAAGAGGAAAAAGTCCGCCTGAGTGGGAAGTAGAAACGGGGAGGATTTTTCCGAAGTTCCAAAGGTTCTACTCGGAGAATCCGTCACCAGAACTCCCGAATCGAGCCTCGTTCCTCGACACGCCTGAATGAAGAACAGCTTCGGCTTTCCCGCCAGCGTTGGACATCGGTCGGCGGTGAAGAGCGCCGTTATCTGCTCCAAGCGAATCGTTCCGCCGTCCGTCGTACAGATCAGGTCGCCCTTTTCTCCGTGACTGAGCAAAACTACTATCAGCGCATCGA